CATGAAATGTCTCAAAATTGGCAAAATGTATCTTAGTTTGAGCATATTCAGACAAAATGTATAAATAATCAGACTAAATGGCTTTGTCCCATTGGAGAATCTTGTAACACAGTCATAGATAAAAACTGCTTGAATTAAGCAATTATTTCCTAATTTTGTATGACTTCTTGTACTGTAGGAAATCATCACTGTCCTTAGACCCTCCCGCATCTGTAAAGAATGACTCAAAATTTAAAAAAAAAACAGTGGGAAAAAGTCAGAAACCTTGGGAAGGCCCATGTTGAGAGAGGAATCCGCTCCCACAGAGAGACAGGCTGTAGATCCAGGACTCTGACCAGTAATCCCAGTCATCACAAATTCACTTATAGTTACGCAATACTTTCTGTTGTAAATGTTGAAATGAAATATGTCAGGTAGTAACAATGTCAGATAAGATTAAGAGATTCTTTATTTGTCTCCGCAGTGGGGAAATGTCAGTGTTGCATCATCACTTATAGAACGGTAGGAATGAGAAGAACACAGCACAAGATCAATAAACAATAACTCTATACTGAATAAAATAAAATCTCTAGCTTTAGCATAACAAAAGAAACAAGAATTAAGAACAAAATGTCTCTCTTTAGCATATATGTGTGTGTGTGTCTGTGTGTGTGTCTGTGTGTGTCTGTGTGTGTGTGTGTGTCTGTGCGGGTTGGGGATGGAATGAGGAGTACACAAAATAATGATTTTTTTACTTTTATTAGTACTTTTATAAGTTTTATGAGTATATAAAAGCTAGTATAGCACAACCCTATACCTAAAAAGTGAAATAATACAGAATACATCAGTGTGTGTCTGTGTGTGTGTGTGTGTGTCTGTCTGTCTGTGTGTCTGTGTGTGTGTGCAACATGGCTGTGTGTTTGTGGATGGGGGAGACCTCGGTGTGTCTGTAGTATGTAGTAGCAGGAAGTGTGTGTCAAACGGGAGGTTGACAGAAAAGATACCACGGCCTTCTCACATTTATCACTCAAAGCTCAAAGCACAGTCCACTAGAGGCGCTAGAGAGGCCTGTGATCGGGGCTAAAACATCAAAACTACAACTCATGAGACCAGACGACTTCTCAGAGCTAGCATCACGTCTCTCAGTGTGGCGTCCGTGTGGTTTGGTGTGTAGTTGATGTATATTTTTTTACTATATGTAGGTAGAGAGTGGATTCTGGGTTCATGGTTCAAATCTGGTATAATTGGTTTTGATCGAGAAAGAGTGAATAATAAACGCAAGGGGCGATGGCAACGCTCTCAAACCAAGTCGAGTTGAGTCGAGTCAAGCCAGTGGAAATGGAGCTATACACTGTAAAAAAAAAGATAAAATATAAGGTAAAAATGGCTTGAATTGAGTGGTTTTTGTCTTAGTTTGAGCACATTCTGACAAGATTTGCCAATGGGACAAAGCCGTTTAGCCATTTCAAGAACTGTTGCTCTATTTTCTCATTTCAAGGGAGACATTTTTTGAATCTTTTTGAAACTTGAAATTTTGCCAAATTTGAAAAATGTTTTACTTTTTTTTCACCACTTTTTGCAGTGCAGACAATTGTGGATTTGAACGATGGCTTCCTTGTTCCTATATAAACCATTTTATGTCAAACTGGTTCCTTAAAGGGCCGTTGACGCTGCAGGTTTTACTTCCAACCAAGCAGGAGCACAGCAGACGCCGCCCTTTTCCTCCTGTGAGCCCAGTCTGAACCTGAAAACCACATCATTCGGGTCACAGAGTCCGAGCAGAGAAGAGAGAGATGATCGGACTTTCTCTTTAAGGCAATGCTGTTTGTAGAGCACAGTTCATACACAAGCAAACTGAAACAAGAAAAAAAAACATTAAAATCACAAATGTGTCTCACATTTTCAGGAAGACTTCAAGATTGTAGCTGCATGAATCTGAAATGCTGCCTCCCATGTTTAGTCCCGACCCTAGGCACCAGCAGAAGGCCAGTCCCTGTGCTCCTCAGAGTCCCAGCAGGAGTCCAGTCCCTGTGCTCCTCAGAGTCCCAGCAGGAGTTCAGTCCCTGTGCTCCTCAGAGTCCCAGCAGGAGGCCAGTCCCTGTGCTCCTCAGAGTCCCAGCAGGAGTCCAGTCCCTGTGCTCCTCAGAGTCCCAGCAGGAGGCCAGTCCCTGTGCTCCTCAGAGTCCCAGCAGGAGGCCAGTTCCTGTGCTCCTCAGAGTCCCAGCAGGAGTTCAGTCCCTGTGCTCCTCAGAGTCCCAGCAGGAGTCCAGTCCCTGTGCTCCTCAGAGTCCCAGCAGGAGGCCAGTCCCTGTGCTCCTCAGAGTCCCAGCAGGAGGCCAGTCCCTGTGCTCCTCAGAGTCCCAGCAGGAGTCCAGTCCCAGTCTCTAGCTCATCCCTGGGGTCTCTTCCAGGTTGGTCGGACCCTGAAAACACCTGGAGGCGTCAAAGAGTTTTCCAAAACATAAGCCACCTCAACTGGTTCTTCTCGACGCGGAGGAGCAGTGGCTTTACTCCGAGCTCCTCACCCTATCTCGAAGGAAGCTCATTTCGACGGCTTGTATCCTCCATCCAGCAATCTAGAGCTTTGCCTTTCGACCCCTGCTTCCTCTTCCCCCACACAGCGACTGCATCATTATCTAATCAATGTACAATATCTAATCTATGAGGGCCGTTGAGGTGGGGGGGGATTTGTTTCATGTGGATAAAGCCAGAAAAGACAGACTATAAAACCATAAAACTGTTGGAACTATGAATGATCGCCTAATTTTTTAAAAGTGCCTAAAACCAAGTGATAGAGATGCCCCAATGAGGAAGGTTTCAGTTCCAAGCTTCAAGTCCATATCGAGACTCAAAAAGTGATCCAGCAAATGGTTGAGGAGACCTTTAAAGGGTTAACACAGACAGAATGTGCTCCAATTTAGATAAAAAACACCCAATTCAAGTATCAATTTCCTCATATTTTTTCACTTTAAGTCAAGATTCAGTATTTCCTTTTGTTCTATGAAGCCAAAACATGATTGTATAAAAGTAATGAATCATAAATCTTCTTTATTACCTCCAAAAGTGTCTTAACATCTTGTTTTATGACACTCAAAATGTCCTCAAATTAAGACAAAAAGCACTACATTCACGCATTTATTACCTCATATTTTATCAAGTTTTGCAGTGTTGTTGAATAGATTACAATATCGTTCCCGTTCTTCCGCAGTGTGAGTGTTGTGCGTAGAAGCGGAGGCCTACAGTGTTGTCCCTGTATCAGTGTTGTTGCTGGTTATCTCATAGGGAGCCCCACAGAAATCAGAAGTTTGTTTTCTTTCATCCACGACTCCATTTAGAGACATGAAAGAGAGTGTGCAGAGAGTGACCTCAGAGCGTTATCAGAGGCACCGGGGGCTGCTCACCGCTGATAACGGCCCCTACTCTCTCTCTCTCACACGAGGACGGAGCCAGAGCAGAGACCCAACACCAAATATGGACTTTCCCCCCAACGTTTCATAGTTTACACACGTCCAGCACGGTCAAAACAGTGGGGGCAGGTCCCGGCTCAAAAATGTTGAATTATGTGCGCTGACATGCTTGCAATACCACCCCGGGCCAGTGGGGGTGGACCATCAATGCAAATGTATGTATCTGCTTTCCTCTCAAAAACGTCTTTACAGGATGGTCCAAAAGTCGGTTCTTGGCCCAAAGGTACGTTCCACATGTGTGTCAATGCTGAAGGGAGTGATTTTTTTTTTATTTACCATTCTAGTTTAGTCGCTGTGAAATTTTGAAGGTTTGTACCGGCTGATGCATGGGAAGATCTATGCGTTTTTTCACATTTTACAGCCCCCGCGGCCATTTTGAAACTGCCCATAGACAGCAAAAATTATGGCACATTAGTTTGAACGGCGGAGATAAGCGTGACTACGTCCGTTAATATCTACAATCTATGGGTCAAATAAATTATCGCTGAAGTAAATTAAAACCCGTGTGTGGATCAGTGTGTGTGCATCAGTGTGTGTGTATCTGTGTGTGTGTGTGTGTGTGTGTGTGTGTGTATCAGTGTGTGTGGGCCGGTGGCGGTGGCCCCTGTGGCGGGCAGGACTTCCTGTGGGATCAGAGGTCTGCTGCTACAGTGTTGGTGACAGACTGTTGTTCCACTGGAGCAGAGAGTGTTACCTTTGTGTGCTGGACTTGTGTGTCACTGTTTCAGCAGGTGCCAATCCAGCTCTGTGGGGAAAGAAGCCATTTTTGAGAGAAATGCTGAAAGAGAAAATGTCCAGATGTATTTGCTGACAGAGAAGATATGGAACTTTGTTTCGTGAGGATTGCCCCTGAGGTTACAGAGAACTAAGCTTTAAATTAGGATGTCTTTTGACAGTTACTAGTTGCCTGGAAAGCACCAGGCCAGGACCAGATGCTACGAAAATGTTCAAAGTGACAAAGTGTTCGGCTGGAATTTCCCTGGGTTTCCTCCGGGTGCTCCAGTTTCCCCTACCAGTAAAAGTATTCACAATAGGTATATCCTCCAGCTCCGGTCCTGACCAAGCCGAGCATCAACATGTGGAGATGGGTCTGGGTTGTTGTCACTATGGCGACCACTGTTCCTGACAGACGCCCAAGTGGGTTCGAATCCCGGTTGGAACAGGGCCTTTCTGAGTGGAGTTTGCATGTTCTCCCCGTGTCTGCGTAGGTTTCCTCCGGTGTCCCCTACCACTAAAAACATGCTCTAAAAATATTTGCGTGAATGAGTGAGTGAATGGATGGTGTTTGGTCTGAGGCTTTGATGGTCCAGTGTCTTCCGTCATCATTGTGTGGAAAGAATGGAACAATATCTAAACTCTGAACAATAGTAAAAGGCTTTGGGTGACCTTGGTCTGTAAATTGCGCTATATAAATAAACATTACTTACTTACTTACTTACCTTTATAAAGTCAGTCATATTAGTCGCCAAATAGCTTGGTCTCTTGAGGGTTAAACTTATGACTTAGACTTAGGGTTAAACTTATGACACTAATTACCCATCCTCCCTTACACCTCTACACCATGACCCTGGACGTCGGACTGTGGTCAGACGTGGACTCGCCGCTGCTGAGTCTCCAGGAAGTGAAAATAATGTTGTCTTTTGAAGGCGTGTGAGGCGTGCGAGTGTGTGCATGTGCTGTAGCCGGGCTTTCAGACGGGACATAAAGCCTGGGTGGCCGGGGGCTGGCGGGGTGTCTCCTCCACTCTGCATCAGGAGTCCTGGTCACCACACGGCCATAAAAAAAAACACAAAAAACCAAAAAACCCGGCCCTTTATAAGGTTTCCCCCTGCGACCGAGCGCGGAGGTGCCCCATGCGAACATGTGTGGCGAGGCAGTTCAGGAAATTGCTAGTAAAGTTTACAAAAAGACGGTAAAATGTATCTTGGTTTGAAGAAGTGTAGCTTGGATTTTTTTTAAGCCGTGGTCTGACACCTGCTTGTGGTGGACATGTCGAACACTCAGAATCAACCACAGAATGCAATTTACAATAGTTAAAGGGGCAGGGCTGAAATTATGTCTTTTGAGCATAATTTTAGGTAAGTACCGTGAAGCAAGGTTAGTATTATGGGAATAGCACAGTACATACACAAGGGCTGAGCAAAACAAGATAGAAACAAGTCATAGATAATCTCGGTACATTAAAAAGAGTGAAGATACACATTGTCAGAGAAGAGGCCTGTCTCACATTTTCAGGAAGACTGTTTCTGGTTTTAGCTGGATGAATCTGAAACGCTGCCTGACTAGTCTTGACTCTGGGCACCAGCAGTAGGCCAGTCCCTGTGCTCCTCAGAGTACCAGCAGGAGGAGGCCAGTCCCTGTGCTCCTCAGAGTCCCAGCAGGAGTCCAGTCCCTGTGCTCCTCAGAGTCCCAGCAGGAGTCCAGTCCATGTGCTCCTCAGAGTCCCAGCAGGAGGCCAGTCCCTGTGCTCCTCAGAGTCCCAGCAGGAGTCCAGTCCATGTGCTCCTCAGAGTCCCAGCAGGTTCATATTGAGCGACATGGTGGCTGAGCGGTTAGCGGAACAGGGCCTTTCTGAGTGGAGTTTACATGTTCTCTCTGTGTCTGTCACAGGTTAAAAGAGTCTGTTGAGGGTGTGTGACCAATAAAAAGGGAAACGGGATAAAAAGGGGATAAAAATTAGCGGCACCGGTGAGGGGCATTGATAGCGCAGAAAGGCGCGTGCGCACCGGGCTAGGCCCAATCACGTCTGGGATGTGTCCGCTCTCCCTTGCGGGTGCCCGGTGGTGACCCATGGTCGGCGAGTGGCTGGTGGGACTGCGGCCCGGTCCCGGGACAGGGGAAAGGACGAATGCCAGCGAGGACGGCAGGGACGAGTGACTCTGGGTTTTTGTCTTCTTTTTTTGGATCCTTTGTATATATTTTATTACATTTTTATCCCCTTTTTATTCCGTTTCCCTTTTTATTGATCACACAGGGGGTGTGACAACAGACTCTTTTAACCTGTGACATGTCTGCGTAGGTTTCCTCCAAGCGCTCCGGTTTCTCCTACCACTAAAAACATGTGCAATAGATGTGAATGTAATGAGTGAGTGAATGATGGTGTTTGGTCAGAGGCTTTGATGGTCCAGTGTCTTGCTTCTGTCGTCACAGTGTGGAGAGAATGGAGCAATATCTGAACTCTGAACATTATAAAGCGCTTTGGTTGATTTTGGTAAAATGTGCTGAATGTATAGTATAGAGATTACTTTTATTCATCACTTTTTGCAGTGCACACCACATAAATAGTAGATTTTTAATGATTTGAGTCAGTACTTTTTCTAACCATGCCCTGGCTTTATACACCGCTACATCCATCACCGAAACATCTGCTCCGTCCTAATAATTTCTGACTCTTTAACAAACCACTCGGAGCCAAATAACTTTAAAAACCGCAGACTTGAGCGTTGCAAAAGCAGAGACATCTTTTGTTCTCACATTTATCACTCGGCCCTTATCTCTTCTGCATCTCGGCTCTCGGCCCACGGGTCACAGGAGTCATGCTGTAAGCGCTGTACAGGTCACCTCAAATATGTGGCGAGGATCAGACCTGCCCTAAATCACTTACTGAACCATCCTTTACAGACTCTCCGCCACTGATAGAGTTTTGGGGATCCTCGTCGTTATAGCAACAGGCAGTTTTGAGGCTGTATCCAAATTTCTGTGTGTCATAATACTCGAGTCTTGCTTAAAAATACTTTAATTTCGGTTATATTTCCAGGATTTGGGGTTTATCTTGACATTTGAAATTTTATTAAATTCAATATATAGGAGAGAACATAATCCTGGGTTCCATTCCACATCCTGGCCTTTCTGTGTGGCGTTTGAATGTGCTTCCCGTGTTGGCGTAGGTTTCCTCCAGGTGCTCCAGCTTTCCCCAGGTGCTCCAGGTGCTTCGGTTTTCTCAGGTGCTTCGGTTTTCTCAGGTGCTCCAGTTTCCACCAGGTACTCCAGTTTCCTCCAGGTGCTCCAGTTTCCTATAAACAGGCACATTTAAAATTTAATTAAATTCAATATATAGAAGAGAACATGGTCCTGGGTTCAATTCCACATCCTGGCCTTTTTGTGTGAGGTTTGCATGTTCTCTATATAATTAATACAAATGAATGCTAAATTCTAACTTCTACAAGTAAACTGAGTGTTGCTATGGTAACTAGCACTTGAAAATTTAAAGTCTATGCTCGGAACCAGTCTAGGATCGAGATAATAAAAAAATTAAAAAATCAACATAGATATAATATATAATTTACATATAAAAATATAGAAAGAAGCAAAGTATTTACACTTTCGAAACCAAAAGCTGTCAAATTGACTGCTGTGGGAGTTCTAATGTTAAATCTCCTGGATCACCACTGTCCTTAGACCGACTCACACAAAAACCCAGTGGGAAAAAAGTGAGAAACCTCCTTTTTCTCTTTCCTCTCTCTCCTCTCTCCACCCGTGATCGACCTGTGTGTGTATCGACAGCAGTATATTGTCAGATCTGTCTTAAGGCAGACCTGAACAGCTGTAATGAGGAGGAGTACAGAAGTTTAGATTACTCAAGTCCGCCCTGGTCCGCCCCGAGGCCAGAGTCTGACGAATGGGCTCCTGCTGATAAAGTGAGGATCCTTGATGTCATGTGAACGTCTTCCAGTTAAAGTGCAGTCATCAGGGAGAGAGTTCTGTTTATGAAAAAAGTAAATAAGTCAATTCCAGGATTTTTCAAACTATTGTGTGGGCGTCATGGCTTCTTCGCAGCGACTTGAAAAAAAAGATGGTATTTGAGAAATTTAGAGAAAAGAGTAGGCTCCAGCTCATGTCCTGACTAGAAGCACAGGGACTCTGAGGAGCACAGGGACTGGCCTCCTGCTGGGACTCTGAGGTGCAGAGAGACTGGCCTCCTGCTGGTCCCAGAGTCAGGACTAAACATGGAGGGGCAGCGTTTCAGATTCATGCTGCTAAAATCTGGAACAGTCTCCCTGAAAATGTGAGACAGGCTTCTTCTCTGACGATGTTCAAATCCAGGTTAAAAACAGTTACTATCTTCACTCTTTTTAATTTACTGTGTGATTATTCATGATTCTAATGCCTTATGTGATTGTTTCTATCTACTTTTGTTTAGCACTTTGAGTTTCCTTGTGTAGGAACTGTGTTATACAATTAAACTTGTCTTGCCTATGACATGTATTTCTTTTACCTCCAATATAATCCAACTTGTTACCTAAAACACCCAAGCACTAGGATCCATCACTTACGTTGCTATGGCTATAGAATTGCACCAAATATAGAAAAAAAGCAAAATTTCGTCAAAGTACCTCCTAACGCCGTGGAAAAAATGACTTTCCAGCCCTTAAAGAAACAGCGCACATACATTATCCACTATGACAGCGCACATCCTGGTCTCTCTGAACTGTAGTAATGCAGTAATAGGGGGAAAATAGACCCTTCCTCTTACAAGGTCATATACCTCCAGTGTTGGTGTGCTTTCAAAGACACCTCCAGCTCCCCATGACCCTGCAGAGACCCCCGGCTCCTAATACCGCCTGACACTAACTCGCCCCATTTCGACGCGCTAATTGCTCCGTTCAAATGCGCCGTTGTCTGGTCACATTTAGTGGCGGGAGGACGGTGACACACAGACAAACTGGCAGCTCAATTACAATAATAGTTCTCCTTACTTACTACCGCTGCCTGTGTCTCCTGTGTCCAGCTTTAAACTATTATCGAGGATCTATTTACCTTATGGGGACCGGAGTGTGTTTGAGAGGGGAGCGGCGGTGGGACTGGACTGGTTTAAGATGGCTGGATGGATGGATGGATGGATGGGTGGATGGGTGGGGAGTGGATGTGTATGCTAGCCGCGGGGTTGATTGGTGCAGACGCAGGGCTAATGCTGTAATGATCTGTTAAGCTAGCTACTCATTCGCCATCATCCGCTGTCTGTGTTGAGGGTTGTGTCTGGAGCTGGAGTGGTTTATCTCCATGAGATTAAGTTTATCTGTTGAGTGAAAGAGACAAAAGTGTAGTTGTTATGACTGTGCCAAAAATAAGAAATACATAATCTTTTCTCATTGTTTGTATGTACATTTCTATCATGTACATTTCTTATATGTAATTGCTGTTAAATCTATAATTGATTCCTGTTTATAAGCTTGAAATAAAATACAATCAATCAATCAATCAATTGTCAATTATTATCTAAAACCTGGTAAAATGTGGTAAGGGCTGTGGCAATCATAGAAAAAAACACTTTTCTCAAACTCACTTCTTGTTTAAAACCTAACTTTAATTCCAACCAAGTAGGAGCACACCCATTTCTTCAAGTCTTCAGGTTAGGACTGGACTCAGTTGCTCTAGCTTGGTCGGAATGAAAACCTGCAGCCAGTTTGACACCCCTCTTTTAAAGCATGATATTTTTGCATTTCCTGTGTTTGAACTGTTTGATTCTCTGATCTGTGTTGGCGAAGCGACAACTTTATAAAGTCCACCGAGATTACTACTGTTGGGATTTAGTACTAGACTAAAATACACTGAATTGTATATGCAAAAATGGATATATACAATTTTACAAAACAAAAACCCAGAATTATCCAGATGTATCAATTTCAGAGTCGATCCCTCAGCCCCATCAGCAGTACTAATAAGAATTTCTACAGTAGTTATAATAATAATCTTATATTATCCGTGCAATATAATCATAATTTATATGGACAATTTACTACAATTTAAGTGTCGGATGCTTCACCAGAAAAGCAGTTACCGTATTCTTCGGACTTAAGCCGCATTTTGAAGGCTGCGTTTTGTAGTCAGGTGCGGCTTAATTTTTCTTTTTTTTCTGTGGCAGC